CTGTTTTTTTCTTCTCAATGCACAATATCAGCATCGAAGCTTGAATTGCTTCCTAATGAAATACTCGTGGACCTTTTGGAGAACCTTCAATGGTATGCAGCACTATAAAATTTCCAGAAATTAAATTTGTTCAATATTGAACATTTGACAATTGTGGCACAGGGTTGTAAATGAAACGAATCGCAGCGTATATCCAGATGTATACCTCACCTTAAATATTTGAACGTGTAAGTGATAAATAAGTTTGCGATCATTTTTCAATCAATAGCCGATATTTCCCCCTTTAACAAGACTTGATACTGTCATCTTGCACTTTATCAATAGATATACTGAAGTAACATGGAAATAATTGGTAGAATACTTTCATATTATGCCAAATGTGTACTATCTTAAAGTCATCAATTCACACAATAGATATTTCAGTGAAAGTGATTGGCAAATATTGTTTGAGATATCATCGCCATTATTAACTCATTTTCCTGTGAAAATAATTGCAGTTCATCTATCACAACCTGGTCTTAACAGCATTAATAGTACACTGACATATTTTCAAATTCCATTTTATATCTTTGTTCAAATGGTTTATGACATATATTCGATTTTCAAAAATGATCAAAGTAGTAATGCTAGAATCGAAAACAGAGCTTCATGTGGTCACTTCGCTAATGACACTTACTGAAATATCACTTCATGGCAAATCAACTTTAATTAGTTGATCTTTGAACGGTATGATCTTATTGAAACGAAGAAAAACATCAAACATTAAATATTTCTTTCAGAGTTTTTTTCTATTCAACAAACATTTCAAAAAGAGAATATTTGTATTATTGCAAATCTCGTTCCATTAATTGTACTCGAATATTTCAACGAAACATTAAATTCAAATAAAAACTAGTTATCTTTCGATGATTCTTAATTTAGATTTATGAAATCATAAATGCAAAACATAATGTGTTTAACAGTCTTCTAGTAATCTAGTATTCGAAGATTTGATTCAATTGAAACTACTTTTGTGAAGCATAGTTCAAATAGTCGAATTTCAAATGAGATTTATTCAAATTGAGAATCGACCACGTTTCATTTGTAATTTCAACATTTGAAACTTTGGTTTCCATTGAACAATTCATTTTCAATTGAACCAAGTTTTCGAATTCTATATGTACGGTACACGGTCGATTCCTTTTCTTATTTCTTTAATTAATGAGGCATGTCAAAGGCCATAATCAATGGTCACGATTTTAGTTCCATTGATATATATTTCAATAATATGTTTCAGTTATTCTGATGTTTTCGCAGTCGATGGATTAAATCTGTTATCGGTTTTATGAAAATTGTATACTTGATTTCTCGATCTTGAAAACCTTTGATTAAGCTTTATACAAAAAAAATCGTTACTTTCTGGAAAATCTTTTCTTTAACGAAAAAAAACTTATTAAGTATACAATTTCAAGAAATCGACTACGGATTTGGATTCGTCGACTCTAAAACTTTTGTTGAAATTTGATAAAGGATTGTGATTTTTTCTTCAACACCCATTCTGTAATGAAAGAATGCAGTTCATGAATTTCTATTACACAGTAAATGGTCACGTAATAGTAAATTTTCTTACCCCACGATTTTAATTTATCTTTTTCTATAAATGATGTTTATTAGTGACCTCTATCATATAATTTAGTGATTGAATTTTCGAGTTCTTGTGACTATCATTATGGTGTTGTTGATTAAAGTGAAGTATTAAATCGATCTATTTCTTATTTTTGACATTTGTTCAATCAAATAATTCGTTGAATCTAAAACATGGCAGCTGATTCAACATATATGTCAGCATCTGTAAAATCTTATCCATTTTCAACGTCAGATAAATCGGCATTAACTAAAGAAGAAATCATTGTTAAAGATGATGAATTAACATGGGATGAACAATGGCATAATTGTCGTGTTTGGTTTTATAATCCAAAATATCGAGAAGTTTGTGGAAGAGATGGTTTATCATGGGCTAAAATAGCTCTTTACTATTTTGTATGGTGTATGTTTATGGCTGGTGTATTTGCATCATTTGTTGGAATTTTTATGGCTATTGTTGATAAACGTATACCACCATATAGAGGAAATTCAAGTGCTATTGCTTTAGATACATCTCGACCAAATCCTGGTAATATAGAACAATAAAGACATTTTTCTTGTAAAATAAAATAAAATAATATATTAATATATTAAGGTCTTGGTTTTCGTCCTCAAATAAGTGTTCAAAAAACTTTAATAAAATATCGTTCATCACATCGTGATACATTTGGTTATCGTTATGGTTGGGGTGAATATAAACAACAATTAGATGAATTTTTAGCTTATTATACTGAAGCTGATGTTCGATATCAACGAGCAATTGATTGTAATGGTGTTTCAATAGATAAACTTCGTCCACAATTTTATGATGGTAAATCATGTCGTTTTGATATAAATATGTTTCGAAATCGTCAAACACCATGTGTTACACAAAGAAATTTTGAATATAATTTTGGTCGTCCATGTGTTCTTTTAAAACTTAATAAAATTTATGATTGGGAACCAATTACATATCAAAATGCTGCTGAAGTACCTGAACAATTTAAAGGTTAAATTAATATTAGAATATTATTTTCAATAAAATATATTCTTTTTAATTTCTATAGCTATATGGGAAAGTGAATTTTCTGATTATATATTAGTTGAATGTAATGGTGAAAATGATGTTGATAGAGATTTTATATATGAAATAGAATATTTTTCACAAATGAATACAACTAAAATAGGTGGATTTCATCGAAATTTTTTTCCATTTGTTAATCAAGATGGTTATCGAAGTCCATTAGTTTTTGTTCATTTTAAAAAAATTGAAACAAATATTTTAATTAATGTTGAATGTCGAGCTTATGCAAGAAATATTGATCATAATGATAGTTTAGAATTTAAACGTGGTAGTGTTCATTTTGAACTTATTGTTGAATAATATTTTTAGCTTTCATTTTTTTTTTTTTTGATTGAATCTCTTTTGTACATTTGTATTCTTATTCTTATACATTCCATCAAAATGATCTTCTTTGATGACAAATTTCTCCTTTTTTCTTTTTTCTTCTGTGTTTTGTATTACTCATGACGTTCATTTTATATTTGCTTCTTTTCTTTTCACTTGTGCAAATTATTTACTGTTTTCTTTTTATATACAAAACTTTTTTTTTTGTTGTGCAACTTCTAATGATATTATATGAAATATTTGATACTGAGAAAGAGTAGTGAAAAATAAACGTATCAGCGTTGTTCTAATTTTGTGCAACGTGGTAAAAGAACTATGTATGATCAATGGTGATTTGAATAAAAGTACAGACATACTAATGACAAAACTTAAGAATTTAAAAGCGATAAATTTCCTAAGACTTTTTCCAGTGAGTTTTGAAATTCTGTAAGAAAATATCAATCAGTTATATTGAGCATTTATCGTCGGAACGATGCGAGATTTAATAGTAAGTACAATGTTGGAGAGTTACATTATGATGAGTGATCTACTTTTGCAATTCTGTTTAGATTTAAAATTCTAACGATTTGTAATTGAATTTGAAACCTGACTATGGAATGTTGTGTACTGCCCATTAAGAAAATTAATAATATTCCTGTCAAATGAATAATTTCACTTTCAAACTAATTAATTTGAAATATGAATAGTTGATAGTGTGCACGAACTGATATATTCGAATTTCAAGATATTTACGGTCGATGTTATAGGCTCACACTGTAAAATTGCAACACTATTTATTTATTTTTATTTTTTCGTTATGGTTGAATAAACCTCAATGAGTTACGTATGAAAACAAATTATTATACATATTCAAACGATATTTAATAACACACAGAATTTGGTGTTTCTTACTCTTGTATCCAATCATGATAGTATCTTGCATTTATTCGTAATATTGATTTTGTCTGTATGATATTGTGTTTTCGTATGCATGCACATCGAGCTCTATTCAACCATGCCGAAAAAAACAAAAATTAAAACTCGTGCAGTTTTACAGTGTGACAACATGACATAGATTCTAATAATGAAAAAGAATACCACTACCTTTTGGCTACCTAGAAGTATCGACTGCTGTCTAGTGATAAATTGAGTAGTGTGATATTTTTGCTACAACTATTACTAGTTGTAGCTCTGGGCAAAAGGATAGTTTGACTCAGAGTTTTTGCGCTCAACTACATAGTAGTGGCAAGAGTAAGTGTTTGTTACAACTTAGTCAGTATGTTATTGAACAAATAATCCGAGATGTACAGTCGTCAGTGACTTGTCTAGAGTTATTCCATGGTTAGTGATACCTAGGTTTGAAAACAGTATCTTGTGGATAAGTGTTGAATAACATACTCACTTAGTCATGATAGTCCCAATAGACTGAATATTTTGATATTTCAATATTTTAGTCCGTGTACGCCTACAACAAATTTCAGAGCTTAGTTTTTCGAGATGTCCAAAATAAATTCCATTATCTATTTCTATTTCGAAATTTACTAATGCTTGAAGGTCTAGATGTTTTTTTCTTTATAATAGACCAACTGAAAGAATAATATATGTAGAATAGATCCGGTTTTATATGGCAGGAATTTTAGTAGAGATCGTAACAAGTCTTTTTTCTGACATATTAATCAAAACAAATTGCTGGGTAACAATAAGAAATAATGATTTGAACCTTAGATATATAAATTGAGCAATCATTACTCTAACTACTGAATCACTCAATGTTGTTTGTCAGTTGTAAAATTTTAGAACAGTTATTATTGATTTAAATCAATCTACTGAGAGATCAATTCATATTAGAGAGTTATGTATCGATAAATGCCAATAGAGATTTATATATATCACAAGGAATTATTTGACATAAATCGTATAAAAAAATATACCATATACCAAAGAAAAATATTTAACCTTTCTTAAGTTGACTCAAACAATTGTAGAGTGTTCTGATAAAAAATATTACTTAATGGCAGATCGATCAAGTGCTGGAACATCAGAATGGTTCAAGTATAAATTTTTTTTGAGGCACTAATATAATGAAAAAAAAAAGAAGAAATTTTTATTTATAGAGGAACAATGCTATTTGAATCACGTACAAAAATACTATTTATATTATTTAGTATTCTTCTTGTTATTTTTATTATTGCTACGATTGTATTAGCTGTACTCTTTGCTCGTGAAAAAACTAAGAAAACCACAGATGGTATTGATTTAGAGAAATGTTTATATCGAAACATTTAATTTTATTTTAGTTAATAATGATTTATGTTTGAGTCCATATTGTATCAAAGCAGGTGAATATTAATTTGATGAAATAACAAAGAAATATTATTTTTCTATAATAGCTGATTATATAATCGATAGTCTTGATCAATCGATTGAACCATGCGAGAATTTTTATCAATTTGCTTGTGGAACATGGATTAAAAATAATAGAATACCTGACGATGGTAAATTACGGTGTGAATTCGTCTACGTATGGGTATAGTTATGAGTTCTGTTGTGAGAATGTAATTTTAGGTTGCAATTTTCTCTATACTCACAGTCATACATATATTTAAATACCCTAAACAAAAGACTATAGCATACATTTCTCATCTTTCCTAGCATTTCTGGCTGTAGGACACTACAACTGTTGTTTAAAATTCGTAGGTAAGCAGAGCGTGATGATGTTAATAACCTTTTGAAGTACTGAAGTTTATTCATTATCTAAATTTAAACAAGCTCTTGAATTCTTATGTTAGAATTGCTTCAGTTACTCGAGTTACTTGAGTTCTGACAATGCCATGAGTGAAGTTGCACATTTGAAAATTTTACAAGTTCAAACCTAGTGGAATCTGACAACATCTTGATTGCACTAACAGGATTTTTTTTGAATATAATCATTCTGAAATTATTTATAGCGAATGCACAAAATATATTTCATATTCTCAGAGAAAAACTTAACTACAATATTGTTGGTAAGTTCCAATGAAGTTCGTTTTTCTCTAATATATTTGTTATTTTTATATAGATTTACTATCAACAACGCCGACGGATGAAATCAATAAACTTCAATCTGTTACTAATGCTCGTGTATTATATAGTTCATGTATTGATGAAACAAAAATTGAAATAGAAGGAATTGATCCAGTCTTATCATTAATAAATAAAAAATTTGGTGGTTGGCCTATATTACAAGGTTTATCATGGAATAGTTCAATATTTAATTTAACAAATCTATTACTTAATCTTCGTCAATACAGTTATAATATGATTTTTCAAATCTATAGTGATGTTGATGAGAAAAATTCTTCAGCAACAAATATTTTAGTAAGTTCGATCGATTTTTTTAATCAAATAAGATTATTTCAATATTAATGTATTGTAAATATGATATTATTTTTAGGTTGGTCAAGGTTCACTTGGATTACCACAACGTCAATATTATGAAAATGAAACAAATATTACTATTGCTTATCGACAATTCATGTTTAAGTTAGCTGAAGTATTGGCTAATGATACTTCAATGATCGATCAAGATGTCAAAGATATATTCAATTTTGAAAAGAATATTTCAAAAGTAAGAACTTATAATACTATATATGAGTATTGTATTTCATCTTTTTATTAAATAGTATTATTGGACTATTGATGAACAACAAGCTCGACATAATGAAACAGTTCAAACAACAATTTCTAATCTTTCTCGTACATTGAATACAAGTGTAAATCGTCAATATTGTTTTTTTTGTTTTTATTTATTTATTTTTGAACAGTTTAATTTCATGACTTATCTACGCGATGCATATATATTTGGTAATGTAACTCTGAATGATAAGGATCCTGTATCAGTAAGTGAAATAGATTTTTTGACAAATGCTTCATCTATAATTAATTCAACTTCACCACGTATTTTACAAAATTATTTTATATGGCGTTTTATAATGGATCAAGCTGATAATATGCCGAGATCTATTCGAAGTATTAAAGAACAATTTGATAGAGTTTTTGATGGCACTAATGCTGAACGACCAAGAACAATAAAATGTGGTGCTTATGTTAATGATAATATGGGTTTTGTAGTTTCGAAACTTTATATTAAAAAATATTTTGATGAAAATGCTCGAAATGAGGTACTAATATGAATACATTTAAATCTTATATTCTTATTTTGTGAATATAGTCATTAGAAATGATTGGAAATATTCGAAATTCATTTATTAATATAGTTGATCAATCTTCATGGATGGACAATACATCAAAAGTTCAAGCAATTGGAAAAGTAAATATTGATTAATATTTTATATATTAACAAAAGAAAAAAAATACGACAAATCATATTTTAGGCTAAATCCATGGGTAAACAAATTGGTTATCCAGATTATTTAGCAAGTAGTAATGACACTAAACTAGAAAATGATTATGCTGCGGTGAGATTTAAAATAATTTTGATATAATTTTTTGAATATAATAGTTCTTTTTTTTTTGCTGTGTACTTTATTATCATTATTTTATATATAAGAATTTGTTAACTATTTAGTATGTTTTCAATTCATCTCATATTTATAATGTTTTCAAAATGCTTCAAATAAAATCTATAGAAAACTTTCAATTTCTTCGAAAGCCTATTGATCGAAAAGCATGGGGTAGTCTTCCACCAAGTGTTGTTAATGCATTTTATGAACCATCTCTAAATCAAATTAGTATGTATAAACTTTTATTATTGATTAACAGTGATTGTCCTATTAAGCTTTTCCGGCTGGTATTCTTCAAATGCCATTCTTTGATAAAGATGCTCCAAAGTAAAAAAAAACAACAACTAATTAATACCCATATATAAATATATATTCTTTTATTCTTTTGAGATATCTTAACTATGGTGGTATGTATTAGTCAATATTCATAGAATAAATAGACATAATTAATTAAGGTATTGGAATGGTTATTGGACATGAAATAACACATGGGTTTGATGATACTGGTCGTCAATTTGATAAAGATGGAAATCGAATTCCTTGGTGGACTGATCAAACAATTGAAAAATTCAATGACCGTAAACAATGTATTATAGAACAGTATAGTAACTTTACCGCACCACAAATTAATATGAAAGTCTCTATTATTTTGAATTCATATTTACTTTTATTATTATCTTATTGTATAGAGTAATGGTAATCTAACACAAGGTGAAGATATTGCTGACAATGGAGGACTTAAAGCTGCTTTTTATGTGAGTAAATTATTTCATTTAAAAACTAAAATATGATCTCACTCAGAAACAAATTTAATACCGTCTAATTAACTAGTTTTTATTTTTGATAAATTTTCTCTTTGATAGGCGTATCAAAACTGGGCTAAATCAAATGCATATACTGACAAAAAATTACCAGGCCTAACAAAATATTCGGCTGAACAATTGTTTTTTATCAATTTTGCCAATACATGGTGTATTAAAATGACCGATACATACATACGCAATCGAATTTTAAATGATGTTCACTCACTTGGACCATTTCGGTAAATTTTTTGCTTATTGTTGCCTTCTTAAAGAAACTATTATTCAATGTCATTTTAGAATAACTGGTCCTGTATCAAATTTTGATGAGTTTGATCGAGTATTTGGTTGTAAACCAGGTCAAGGAAGTAGTCGAGTGAAAAAATGTGTTGTTTGGTAGTTCACTCCTTGTCTTTTTTATTCTTGATTCATGCATAAAACAATAAAGAAACATCTTTATTTTATTTTTCTTTAATTAATTTTATATTTTTTGAAATGTAGTTTAAAACATGGAGATATTAATCAAGCACAATTATTGAAATTGAAATAAAATTTAAGATACTGTGCACCTCAATTGGTTTTCTCCCCTTGATATTTTTGTGTTTTTATTGCCATACTTCTTTTATGTAGTAACCTACTACATATAGGAAGAAAGCCCGGCACGTGCTGCATCTTTCCGTATATTTACATTAAACATCAAATGCAATTTAAAATGTAACAGATGTATTAGAAAAACAGTGACAGTTTTTTTTACTACATGGTGTCCACAATGTTGTAACAGTTTTTATTTCGCGTATATCTCGGCTTTGATAAATGATAATATCTTGAATTTTTTTCCAGAAGATGCGCCGTGAAAAGCTCTACAAAAGCTGTATGATCAAATTCCTTTTTGCCTGTTCCAATGGTTTTTCTTATACTCAAAATGAAAAACCTACATGACATTGTCACTGTCCATTATATTGAAAATGTTTGAAAGACTTTTCATTTTGCATATATCTTGATTTGAGAAAACGATGGAATATTGAATTTGTTTTTGAAAGATGTGCCGTCGAAAGCTCTGCAAAACTTGTATAGACAAAATCCTATAGCGAATCAGAAAAGTCCTCAAAATATTTTCTATATGATGGAAAGTGACACTGCCATGTAAGTTGTTCAATTCGAGTATAAGAAAACCATCAGAACAGGCAAAAAAGGAATTCGATCATACAGCTTTTGTAGAACTTTTCACGGCGCATCTTCTGGAAAAAAATTCAAGATATTATCATTTATCAAAGCCGAGATATACGCGAAATAAAAACTGTTACAACATTGTGGACACCGTGTAGTAAAAAAAAATGTCACTTTTTTTCTAATACATCTTTAAATTGTATTTGATGTTTAATGTAAATATACCAAAAGATGCAGCGCGTTCCGGGCTTTCTTCCTATATATAGTAGGTTAATAAATAAAAGAAGTATAGCAATAAAAACACAAAAATATCAAGGGGGGGGGACCAATTGAGGTGCACAGTATTTTAATAAACTAATCTTTTCGTATGTTATTTACATTTATAATTAAAAAAGAGGTGACAAGGATAAATGAGAAAAGTATATGACTAATACATCATTGTTGGTTTTTTAATCAAAATTAGAGAAACTTGTATGTAAGAGATGTGACATATTAAGAATATATCAATGATACTCAGCTGATATTATTGAATCTAATCGTTATTATTGAGAGAAAAGTTAAAATACTTGTTCAGTTCAGTCAAGACAGCATGTGTATATAATTGAGAAAATAGTAGAGCAGGATTTAATGATGAAACTATTTTTTGAATAATATTGCCTAATTGAAATGATTTTTCGACTGTTATTACATCTTGTTCATCAATTTAAAATGAAACAGTATCACATGTTCACTGATGTTTCGATGAGCTGAAAGAGTGTTCATTATAGACGTTAATGATTGACTCAAGATCACATGAGAGAAACTTCAAAATCAGTTCTGACGTGTGAAAAATACTTCTCTAAATAGTAAACTGAGATGAATGGGCGAATGACGTATTCAGTCGAAAGAGGGATTCATTCATCTAAGTGTTATTTTACTTTTCCTTCTGTCGTTGTAAAAGAAAACAAAGAGCAGATCTTAGTATAGTGCACCTGAGAAAGACTACTAGAAACATATGCTTACCATTTTGTTTTTCTATGCAGTCGTTTTTCTTTAATAACATATGCAAATAAGATGAACGGATAGTTACCTGATTCACTGCTTAAAGAGAAGAAAACTCATATAGGAAAATCTTATTTTCTTGCATCATCGTTCTTTTTAATTCTAGGAAACGCTGTAATTAGAGAACTTTGTTCCTTTTCTCAACTCAAAATTTTCAAAATTTTTTGTTCTTGGTTTTTCCAAGTCCGTATACGGTTGGTATTATCTTCTATCTACTTGATGTTTTGAAGACTTATGTACAATAATAAAGGTTACGAAATGTGAGTATATAGAAGATTCATACTGAAAAAAGTTAAAAATTAGTATACTATTGAAGATTAAGATTTAATTACATCAAATTTTGAATAATTTGATTATAAATGAAATTACAAACTGACTTACAACCAAATCATCATTTATCAAAGTTGAACACAAGTACTTCGTTAGAAGAAGTTTATCGAAACAATATTTAGATTGTTTCCTGAGAAGAAAAATGAGAAAAATATAATCTATTGATAGAATCCTTAGAAAAAATACATTTTAGAAATAAGAAACATTCTAACGAAAAGTTTATATATGGGGTGTGGATGTGAGCCTATCCAACAACTACACCTTCACCAGTATTCACATTCATGCACACCCACCCAAACGAAAAAGCTGGAGATTCAACCATTGGTCACCAGGGAAGAGAATTCTTTTCAGAAAAATATCGACTCGATATAGATGAATGTGTACTACCTGAAGATCAAGATAATCTTAAAAAACTAATGCATCAGTTATCAGTAATTTTATGAATAGTTTCGTCAACTAATAGTGTTAACACGACTATTTTTCGAGAAAGATGCATTGACTTAGCAAAGTTTATATCATCAAATTTATCTTGGGTGCAATATAATTTGACACCTCATAGCCTTGTTTTTCATTCTTGTGAATTAATTTGTCGTAACCATGATATTCGCATTGGACAACTTTCTGAAGAAGTTTTAGAAGTTTGTAATAAAGATATTCAAAATTATGGAGAATTTTTTAGTCGAACATGTGATCATACTGTAAACTTAGTTGATACTTTTCCTCGTCTTTTGGAACGATCAGATCCACTGATTGCTGAAATTGTCAGAAGTCAACTTGCAATAAGAAACTGCAAGCTCAGACCACAATCTACTGTTATTACTGAGAGTATGGATGTGGGTGTGATTTATCGACATTTTTGTTTGCATTAAACGTGTTTCGCAGATTCAGGTTTCGGACATGATACATAACTCGTGTATTTCTCGAATGCGTTTCACTTCGTTTCCTAGAAAAAACTATTCCAAAAGATCTTTCTCTGCGTTTTTTCTTTGAGTAATACATTTTTTCGCAGATTTAGATTTCTGAAAACTATTCAAAATGCTTTTATTTTTCGAAAGCGTTTGGTTTCGTTTCCTAGGAGAAATGTTCAATAAGGCGCTTCGCTGCATTTTTTCTCCGCGTAAAACGCATTTCACCGATTCAGTTTTTCCGGCAAGATACGAGATGCCTTTATTTTTTTAAACTCGTTTCAAGTTACCAACCCCTAGGTTTTGTTTTTAAATTTTTATCATATACACTGGCAACACAGTTGCTTTCTTCAAGCAATAGAAACACTGTATGAGTCATCTAAAATATTGTATGTTCAATACTTTTTTCTTCAGCCCTTTTATTGCTAAAAAGTTTTTTGTGAACGTCAGCATTACACGGGAATGAAAATAGGCTTGGCCAAGCGTTCACGCAAGTAAAGAAATAAAATGGTCAATGGAACTCCCTTGAATTTCATGTTTCTTTATTTTTCTTGTTTGATCCTTTACAATTATCGTTAGGCATAGACATCAACAAAAGGAAACAGTAAATCAAATACAATGACAAACAGATGACTCATCCTGTTTAGTGAATACCATGTAATAATTAAATGTTGTATGTCTTTTGAATAATCTCAGAAGTTATTTCTCAGCAGAGAAATTTAGGGCAGACCTCATTTTGTTTTCTTTTCTTAAAAATAAAAGTATAAAAAATGAAACATCACTATCGAAAAATTTTACTGCTGGTTGAATACAATAAAACTAAAGTACGATTCAAAGGTGAGTGTATTTTCAACGTGACTTTTCCGTATTTTTGATCACTCAATTTGTGGTATCGTCTGTTTTTTAGTCTGAACTAAATATGGTTACCAATAAAGCTTTTAAAAAATCTCATAAAATCATCCTTGGAAAGTTTTGTTTTCATTACACTACCAACTAAAACATTCTCCTTTTATTAGATATTTAAGCAGAATATTAATTTAGTAAAAACTAGAAAATTTTAAAAATTAGTTAGTTTACAATACCATTAAAAATAGAATAGAAAAAGAATTAAAAATATATATTTTGAGTAAAAAGTTTTGTAGAACATCTAATGAGTTATTCTACTGATGTTTAACATAGTTTTGAATAATTTTACTTTACAAACTAACTCATTTAAATGTTACGAAGTTTTCATAAGGGTATCTGAAAGAGTGTTCTCCAGTCTTGCAATTTTACTAAATAAGCAACTGTGAAGGAAAACAACTTTTTTCTCGGGACTTTTTTTCTTCAAAAACAACTAAAGTTCATTCGACGTTTCGTTGCTGAGAAATAAGTCATGATATTATCCCAAAAATTTTTGAACAGAGTATTATATTCTATTCATTTTATATAATTCAATGCATTGGATCATCCGTTCATCATGGTTTTATATTTTACTTTGCTTTTCGTTATTATTTTATGTTAGTTAAACAGTGATATTAGATGATCAAAAATTCATACAATAAGACATTGCAAGGTGGAATTCAAAACACCTGAGTTCACCAATCTAATATGGACTAGAGGTGTCAATTTATATTTAATTCGCATTTAATCTATGCATAAAATTTATTATTGTTAATTTAAATTTTTTTCATAATCTATATTTAAAAATAGATATAAATCATCACAATTTATATTTATTTAAATATATAATCTACAAAATTTAATTTAATTTAATTTGTTTTAAATATAATTTCTTATCTTATAATTTATATTTAATAATAATTATAAACTACAATGAGTCATAATTATTTCAAATATAAATTATGAAAAAAAAATGATTTATAGTTGTTTTAAATTTAAATTAATAATAATTTATATTTGTGTGAGATCAGCAGAATAATGACATCCTAAATATCGACATTCGTTAAAAAGCGGTATTGAAAATCCATTCTTGTAAAGTCTATGACGATATTTATACGATCTGAAAATCAGGCTACAATAAATCGTTTCGTTCTTCGAGCTGCTTTAGCACAGTGGTTGTTTGGTCGTCTTCTAATCTGTTTCATCTTCTATTCTCTTATTCGAA